GTGTAGTTGTACTTAGTTCTGCTAACACCCTCAAAAGCACCTTTTGTTTTTATGCGTTTTTTCGCATCTGTGCAATGCAGAAAACGCATATTGACAAGGAGTTTCCTGTATGTGTGTCTGTGTGTTCGTCTGTACTGATTTTTCATCTGCAGACCTGTTAAAGCTACACGGCTGAAACTTTGGGGACTTAATTTACTTGCATTTGCGGTCCCCATCCCCAAATGGGCATTCTTTTACCGGCGTGGTACTCAAGTACAGGCCCCCAAAGTTTTTACGGGCAGTCTGTTAACTCGGAAACCAAAGAAGCTGGAAAGCTGAAATTTCAAGGAAACGTTCCCCATCCACGTAGGTCTTAACGAGTTCAAACCCAGCCCCCATGCCTGCGTGGTATCCACGTACGAGCCCGTGAAAATTTTTTTATGAGTAAGTTGTTAATTCGGGAACCTGAGAAGCTAGAAGACGGAATTTTAAGAGGATGTTCCCCGCCCACGTAGGTCTTAATGAGTTCCAACCCGGCTCCCGGGTATGCGTAATTTTTTGCGAATAAGTTGCTAACTCGGGAACCAGGAAAGCTAGAAGGCTGAAATTTTAAAGGGATATTTTCTGGCAGCCCTGGCGGTCAGTCTCAGTTCTTTTAGCTAGTAGCATCTGCCGGAAAAAACCAGTACCATTAGCGACAAAAATCTGCGGGTCTTTGGAAAGTGCAAGCTATAAACCCGGAAATTTAAAGTTTTTTCTGGTGAAATATAAAATGAGTTCCGAAATCAAATTTAGATAGCTCTCTGTTCTTCGTCGTATGAGCTCATTCCCTGGATTAGTTACAACAGGACAAAAATCCGAATTTTTGGCATTTTTACGCCCGGGAAAGAAATGGTATATTGAAAATTTCTGAATTCTACGTAACTGCGGTTCGCAAACACATTTCACTGATGGGTTTTGTTATGTCTTCATTTTACGTAATGGAATATTTTGCAGATGCCCTGTGGCAGAAGATCGAGCACACATTTGAAAATTATCCGAAAGGCACTCGCTATGTTGTTTTTGAGGACGCAGGCTGCGATGATCAATTTTGGGCTGGTCATTATGGCTCAAAAATGGCAAAAGCTACAATTATTGTAAATTACGGGAGCGGGCAAAGGCGAAAATCCTCTCGAAGGCGTTCGTCGGTTTAGATCCGCGGTAAATATGTAAAGTGTTTTGCAAAGAAAACTTGCGAAGTTTTACACTTCTTTTACACTTCATACAGATAAATTGTATATTTGTTCATCATGCAGGGCATATGCCTCATTCCGCTTTGTTTCATTCTTGTTTTTCCCCTCATTTTTGCTCACTAATTTCACAGATTCTTGTAAAATTAATTTTAAAAGAAATTAATTTATGTCGTAATTTACCTACATGTTTGAAATGAGGAGGGAATAAGGTGAGACAAGAAGCGCACAAATCAGTCGCGAAAGTTAAGGTTAATAAATCGAAGATATGAAAAATTTTAAATGTTGTGTGAATTGCGCGAAAAGTTCATTTGCCGTAAATCAAATCTTTTTTGCTGGTTTTCCGGTGTTTAATGAGCGCTAGAGAAACCCAGGCTGGAACGCACCAGGC